CTTTACTATGTACTGAAGCAAACTGTTTTCTTTGTCTTTTGGGGGCCTTCAGAATGTAGTGAAGTTTTATTGTTATTGAAGAAAGATTTGGTCTTACTACTGGTCACCAAATGAGACCAGAAGGTAAGAAGTATCTTTCAGCACTATATAGCAACTAGACCCTTCGTTGATAACAAAAGTCTTAGGTTATCATATCTTAAGACTTTTTAAAGCACCTAAAACGCACCTGGTCCAAATATTCTGACCGTTTATTGATATATGCTCCATTAGGGGAAAACTGGTGAGACGAACTGACTTTGTGAACTTTGGTAGGTGGAAGGTTTGGGACAGAGATCTCGTAGTTGCAATGGTACTACCAAGATATAAAAACGACAGCTCTGAATGTAAATTGTCATTAATTACTTCATTCGCCGCTGCAGCATTCCCAGTGAATTTAACTTCAATGCGGATCACGGATATGATATCAGTGGTCTAATTAAGCAGTACTCGAGTCAAGGACGACTCAATAGACGGAAGTCAGTTGAACTGTACCACAGAATATTCTGACAAACGCTTCAGCCTCTAGATCGCGGAGACTTTCTAGTAGCCTTGAACAGACTTCACGGTTGTGTGCCAATAGATAGTTTTCCCATTTGAATATTAAAAATCAGTACCACTTAGATAATTGTGACCAATTATTATTACTGTGTATAATCAACTACTGAAAAACTGACCACGTAAGTGACATGTATGTGATACCGACGGTAATTTTTCACTGCACTTTAGTACATGAATACCACGACTCTGTTCTCTTCTAAACCCAGCTACTCCAAAGGGGGAATCTATCAGAAAGATTTATTTGGTAAAAACAAAGGGAGACTGGTTCATATTTGGATTTATTCCATTATATACAGACTGCATTCAGTAACTGTTGGCTAACGGAATCGTCAAATTCGCACACAATAAAACTAAATATTAATGCTGAGCAAAAGTCAAATGAGAGAATTAACTGGTGCAACTGAAATGCACTGGAAGTCAAATGGACGTTGCAGTAGTGGATTATTCAAAATATTGATAGTCGCATAATGTACTTTATTAAAACGCGATCATCAGTCACTTAGTCCTAATGTGTCAGTTATTGACTTGTCTCCCTACTCTCGGCCGTACCAGGGAATTTGGGGGCGTCTAGCTTAGCAAATGAACATCACTCTAATCCGAATAAGTAGCCTTCCAAAAAGTACATCGTTTGATCCCCCCATGGATGAGTGTGGTTTTGTGTTCTTAAGTAAAACGGTCCTGTTATTGTCTGGAATCCATTATAGAATGACAGGACAAAGTAATACACAGTGTTGTGTGTTCACTCGAATTTATAGTCACGTGGGGTTATGAAGTTGTTAGTTTTCTCAGCTTTGTGGTATCTAAATCGATACGAACAAGTCATTTAGCTACATGACATTTCAAAAAATAAGCTAATAAACGAATACTAATTAGTTTAGAATGGTTCAAGTTTATTCAGTAATGCCACACACAAAAATCAAAACTGAGTAAACAGACAGCTACTAATCACATCAATTGACAAATGTAGACGAGTTTTAGAGCACAATATGCGAACTTCATTGACATCACTTTTTTTCCGCTTACAGCTTAAAAATGATGTTCAAAAGCACTTCGAATACGCCAAATAAACAGAGACAAAACACCACTGAACTTGCAGAGACTAGTAACACTATTGCACCTCCATTTAGGACCTTAGATATGAAAAATGAACTCGAAGTAGTTGCATTTTACAATTAATTTAAGTCGTATAATCATAAAGCTGGAAACATAAGGCTGAATAAATTTGGCCAATGTTGCCATTTAGAAGAGAACATACTTCTCAGTATTGCAAATGCAATATTTTTGTTGGATCCTAAATTTTTACCTTCATTGACTGAAAGACCTCATCATTCGGGAATTTGATTACCTGTTGATACGTATTAGATATGATTCTCACAGAATTTGGGAACCTAACAATAAAAAACGAAGTATCAACAGAGCTTATAACTGTACTCACTAAAGCTTGTTATTCGGTGGTTTAGTAGCTGATGCTCAACCGATGAGTCGACAGTCAGAAACCTGCTTTGTTTGTCAAGAATCAGTTAAACAAAGAGTATTTGGATTTGTAGCACGTTGTTACTTTACATTTATAAGATGTGTAAGGTATGGAGGGAAGATGCCCATAGCTTGCAATTTACTCAATGCGTCAATACATGGGAAAACCCTCAGAAAAATGATAGATTCGATGGAAAAAAGAACGGATCGACGTAAGTTACTGATACAACTGAACCTTCTTCAGTTTTGAAAAGTTCAGTAGTTGGTCTCTATGTGGAGTAGTTGACAGACACGGCTCTGAATGTGTTATAGGTTTTTGAATTAAGTTCCTGGGATGACCATCTTTAGTATAAGAAAAACGACACACCTACCTTAAGCTATGCATATGTTCGCAAGACGTAGAAGTGTTGACTAACCTTTATCAAGTCAGAATACGCCAATATAAGTGCATAAGCCTAAAACACATGGCTTTTGAGTAAAAAAAAACGAGTTGCGGCCGTCTGGTTATGAAAAATCCACTTGGCCGTAGAGTTCTGGTCCTGATATGAATTAGAATATCAGAATGTACAATCAGTAACCTGTCAAGCCAAACTCACAGTAAACTTTTCCTTAAATATCAATGGAGATCCGAGGTACTATCTGAGAGAGAAACACTATTTGCAGAAAAATGAGAATTACGACGATAAATTAAGACTTCCATGTTTTTCAGACCCCTTGGAAGAATTCGATTCAGAAAACGTATTAGCAGGCATGGTTTGTAAACCAAATAAGCGTTTATTGATTAGTAATCTCATAGTATATTAGCATAAAACTAATCCGACCCATCATGACCTTTTGATTGGAGACAATGCAACTGAGCAGCCTGAGAAACTACTAGATAGGGATTAAAATAGCAGTAATTGGCATGCTGACGTAGTTTCATACTACGTCTTTTGTTGAAATGAGGAGCTTACTTAAATGAAAGTCTACATGGTTGTATTTCTAAATGAATGGTATCTCCTTCCGTACACTATTCTCGTTCACGTGTTTTTAAAGTCAAGTATTTTTGATTGTACTCCATCTCTCTTCATAATTTTATCCCTTTATTCGTATGGCGAAAATTTATTCTGGTGATCACTTGTATCAGTATTTGCGCATGACATAACTAGCTAAACAAAACCTAAAAAGTACACAACTGTTAAAACTACGCCAGTGGATCTATAGACTTCTCTGTTTGTTAAAAATGAGTGGTGATGGGAAATAAAATTTGAGTTCAAAAGTTACAAATAGAACTTTACTAAACTTTTTGAGGGACCTCAAGTTAATGTGACCGGCTTAAGCACAACACAGTCAAAAAAGTCTCGATTTTCTGGTGGAGAACTTAAAAATCAATATCCTATCAAATCGGTCAATGAAAATATGAACTACGTATGTGATAAGATTCATCCACAAATCTTCATTCTTTAACTTTACCGTTCCATAAACCTTTATGAATACTGCGTCAATTACCCTTAACCATTTGAATGAATCTTGCATGAGTTGTTTGAGCATTCAATCACTTACCAGTGGTGGGCAACAACAGTACATGTTCAACCTTATGTCTAGCTGGATGAAAAATTTGACAAAAGTATCGACTCAGTGGGCTGACAAAGATGGTAAATACTTCTAGTGTACTGGCGACTTAAGCACTCCATATCTTTACTATTAATACGGAAGTTTCATAATTGAAAAAGTACACGGCGTGAACCTATGTACAAACAGATGGTCCGGTGAATTTGTGCTCATTAATCGATTGTTCCTTAAGTGTTACAAAATTATGTTGATTATATAAACGTTGATGTAGACAAGTAGGTAATTAGGGTGATTAACATTAAAACACTACTCCACGTGGCTGGATTGAGTTAGTGGTAACGATTTCTGCATCCGTCAACTAGCGGTCTCGTGATTTAAACAGGAAGTTTTGGTAGGGCTTCTTACCATTATTTCATTTATTAGAGATATCCGATCAGCATATTGCAGTTTGAGCAACTGACATGTTTTCAAATGGTCTACACAGTTGAAGTTTACGAGGCTAAAAGTTCACAAATATGATACATTTGGAACGCCATAAGTTGCGAAGTCAACGCGCTCTAAATCGAGGATGCTTCGTATTTGAAAAGTAGTAGAAAAACATCTAAGAAATGGGTTTGGATAACACGTCGTATCGTAAGTTGCCTTTTATTTTAGTGTAAAGACCTTTACATTGGCCTCTAGATCAGTGAACTTCCAACCACACAACAGTAGTTTGGTGATTGTTGGGAGCATAGAGAACCGACCTCATTAGATATAAAGGTAATGAATGATAATCTAAATTGATATTATCAGTAATTGACTCTAAGATGGTATCTAACAATTTGGATATTCTTATGTAGAAACCGCTAAATTGAAAAGTAATGGGATGAGTTTTGAGATGACAGTGAAGTTTTGTCGGAGAAATGCACTGTGAACTGAAGTATCAAAGCAACATAACTACTGATGAGTACCAAGTTGATTGATAAGCACGAAGTAAAAAGACACTGACAAATAGATACCAAATAGTTACAGCTACTATATGCTGACAGATCCACCCAATGAATAAACGTTACTAGGTCTCCACGACGAGTGCGAACATTAATGGATGAGAAGAATAACTAGATGTTTCGATGCAATTATTTGTTCTTTCACTTTCATCTATCCGTAAAAATGGTCATTATTCAATAAAATGAGCCCACCAGCTGTTAATACAATACAGGAAGGAAACGGAAATGAACAAAGAATTTATCGCTCAATTACGTCGATGACATCTAGACAAGTCTATGACAGTTAAGAAATCTTTGAGAACTAGATGTTAGGATAAAACTAAATGCATTTAGCTTCATATCATTTGAATACAAATTTGTGAAATATTTTGTCTTGGAATTCAGCAGCATTTTTCAACGTCGGCGACGATCGTCTCGACCTCTTCGTCCACGTGATTCATCACGTCTACCGTTCATTTCTCTCACAAAAGGCGGTGAATAGGTTGCACGAGGCCCACGGGGTATTCGAGAGCGTGAAAAGTCACTGTAGCCTCCACGGCCGCGCATGTCGAGATGGCGACTCATACTCCTGCCGTCGTATGATTCCGGTGGGCTTCGACCTCGTGGTCTTCCCACTGGAACACCTAATGGACTTCGACTCCTGAAAGAAACCAAAAATAAGCATCGTAGAGACTGGCAGCGCAGTTGGCATAAAGTAATGGAGAAACATAATTTCAAGTAAAAGTTTCCAATTTTTGATTTTGAAGTCAAATTTTATGCAAGCAGACTTAAATATCGAAGATAAATTCTGAAATATAGGTGATTTACCGAAGAATAGGTGAAGCACCCACTGTTAGATTCATATTGACTGACGTATGGTTATCAGGTAGTACTCTAAGTTATAAACATAAGGCCTCGATGTCGAATAATTATGGTATGGATGCTTAAGATTCTTCAGACTACGAATGACTTTCACATTAGCAAAGAACAGAAGCTTCGAGTTTAAATGTCGACAATTTAATAGTCCCACGAAGTGGTGATGTTCCTCTTATCATTGTCGTAATCACTCTTTAACTCCATACTTCAAGTTTGAACGATTTTGCTCACAAACCTTTTATATTAGCGTACATCGATAGATACAGTAGTCTATTAGTGATGATAGACGTCATAAATATATCAAAAATTCCAGACGGATAGTGTAGTAGGAGTTAGAACTAAGGAAGTGAGCATTGGTAGAAAGTATTACCTTCGTCGTGATATTGGAGAATGTCCTCTTTGGTTCACTGGTAACGGGATTCTCCCGGGAGATGATCGACGACGTGAATGACTTTGTAGGGATCGTATGAAATCCGCAGACGGGAGGAAAGGTAGCATAGACTGATAGCTTGACGCCCCGTAGGGGTAGCCCGACGCAGCATTGGCTACTTCTGATGAGTGAAAAGAAGAAAACTGGTCGTAATCAGGATAACGGTGACCGTTGTATGACGAATCTCTGTTGCTGTGACGAGGGGAATTTCGGCGCCTAAATGAGGCCCTGCCACCTGATCGACCACCATGAAACGCTGACCCGATAGCTGAATTGAAATGAAGACGAAGCCGTGTTACGTCGTGCAAATAATTCGTAGTCCATCTTTCGAATACGTTTAAAACAGTGCTTACCGCTTTTAGTACGACCACCGTGCGCGAACTCGACTCTGATTCTTGAGCCACAAACGTTGACACCATTAAGAGATCTTACTGCTTTCTCAGCATCCGATGACCTTACATATTCGGCGAATGCGAATCCTGGTGGGTTTCTGGCAACCCACACATCAACTAATTCACCACACTTAGACAACTCGCGGACTAAATCATCTTTGAGGATGTTTTCTACTAAACCACCGATATATAACTTCCGGCATTTCTCTGGAGAGCTAAGACGTTAGGATGTGGACTTACCTTGGAAACCTGAAGACATGTTTAACACAGTGGCGCCAAAAGCCTTCAAGGAGAGATATAGGACAAGAAAACAAACTATCTAAGAAGTTGTGAGGGCAATATATGGAGCCTCTACTTTATAGTCAGGAATATTTATCGTAAGTTCATTAAAATCCATGTTCATGTTTCTGATCCCATGTTTTGGACATGGGAATTAGAGATAATACTATAAGGTATTAATGTAGCGGGTTAACATTTATGTTTCTAGCTCCGATTTCAATGTTGTCTTAATATGAGACTTTTGTCATTCCTGATCGTTATCGATTCCTTTCATAACTAAATGTAAGTACATTTTGTGAGATTGCTGGGTCGTCAACTCGTTTTTATCTTGTTCTCTTTTCCAACCCTCACCACTCACGTTGCTTTGCGAACTCCCCTAGTACACAAAGTACCTTCTGGTTAGATGTGAACCATCACAACCAAATGGCCATTAGTTTGTCTTCTATACTGCAAGAGAATCTAACACGGTCACATGTTAACGTAAGTTTAAATATGATGCCATTGTCATAAGACAGCCCTCTATCATAAAATATAATTGCAGTTATGCAAGTAGTTTCTAGAACACCAGCGGATTCGCTACACTAATCTTTTGTGTCGTTTCTTGGTAAAACGGTAGGTTGATTTCAAACTCGATATCATTGGAAATCCAGGTTGATAAAGATCAGATCCCTCACTAAGGAGGGAGTACAGAGTTTTGAGTCAATCTATTTCCGTCAAACAGTGTTTCGTTGGTTGTTCAACGCTCCGAGATACTTCATCGAAATTATAATTCTTTGACACTGGTAAATTAAGCGAGAAATAATGTTGAAGTAATCTTCCATTTGGAACACTTTATCGAACTCCTTTATATTGTTGACGGTAGAAAACTTCCAAAAACTTAGTTACCTTTTGTGATCGATTTATAAGGGATCACGTACATCAGGGAAAATAACTATCATTCGGAAATTTCAGCCTTTAAGCCCTCCTGTGACATAGTTCACTGACCAAGAATTTCCAGTCAACTTCTACTAGAGCGTTCGCTCCCTTTAATAACCAAGTGCATCCAGTCGTCGACGTGATGTGTGTTTAACTCTTACTTTTTCTCCTTCCCGTCGTTAACTCCATATTACTGCTGACTGTGTGACACGGTTCGATCATTCTGTGAATTGTGCCCTAACCACCACTCAGCGTCTCCTAATCTCTACAGGCAGATGATCTTCTCTCTACCACAGCCAGATATTGCTAATGGTGTCTGTCCACCTAATCTGGATACCCTTAACTTCCTGATGATGATCGTGGAAGTCCTTCAAGTTTTAACTCAGCACAACACTATTTTGACTTGGGTTTTTAAAATTCTGCCTTTGATGTTATGCGAGTGTTGTTTTTAGTCCCGGATATTCAATTGTAGGGACACTTTCCTTGCTTTGCCAATTCATGCCTTCACGTTTGCACCAGGTCTTCGTTGTTCATCAATGATGCTAGCTAAGCACTTGAATGCTCCCAAGTCTTCCAGAGCTTCGACATCATGTGTAATATGTTGCTGTTTGCTGTGTTGTACTTTAAAATCTTGTTTCTCCCTTGTGAATACTGAGGTGTGCTGCTACAGAATACGCTACTGGACTGGTGGACTTCTGTATTTGTTGTTATATTTAAATACCGCCAGAAAAAATATATTGAAGATCCCAGATTGATCAACGTCACAGGTCTTAGTTCTTTGGGGCGACTTCGAAAGGCCACTTATTCGGATTAGAGTGATGTTCATTTGCTAAGCTAGACGCCCCCAAATTCCCTGGTACGGCCGAGAGTAGGGAGACAAGTCAATAACTGACACATTAGGACTAAGTGACTGATGATCGCGTTTTAATAAAGTACATTATGCGACTATCAATATTTTGAATAATCCACTACTGCAACGTCCATTTGACTTCCAGTGCATTTCAGTTGCACCAGTTAATTCTCTCATTTGACTTTTGCTCAGCATTAATATTTAGTTTTATTGTGTGCGAATTTGACGATTCCGTTAGCCAACAGTTACTGAATGCAGTCTGTATATAATGGAATAAATCCAAATATGAACCAGTCTCCCTTTGTTTTTACCAAATAAATCTTTCTGATAGATTCCCCCTTTGGAGTAGCTGGGTTTAGAAGAGAACAGAGTCGTGGTATTCATGTACTAAAGTGCAGTGAAAAATTACCGTCGGTATCACATACATGTCACTTACGTGGTCAGTTTTTCAGTAGTTGATTATACACAGTAATAATAATTGGTCACAATTATCTAAGTGGTACTGATTTTTAATATTCAAATGGGAAAACTATCTATTGGCACACAACCGTGAAGTCTGTTCAAGGCTACTAGAAAGTCTCCGCGATCTAGAGGCTGAAGCGTTTGTCAGAATATTCTGTGGTACAGTTCAACTGACTTCCGTCTATTGAGTCGTCCTTGACTCGAGTACTGCTTAATTAGACCACTGATATCATATCCGTGATCCGCATTGAAGTTAAATTCACTGGGAATGCTGCAGCGGCGAATGAAGTAATTAATGACAATTTACATTCAGAGCTGTCGTTTTTATATCTTGGTAGTACCATTGCAACTACGAGATCTCTGTCCCAAACCTTCCACCTACCAAAGTTCACAAAGTCAGTTCGTCTCACCAGTTTTCCCCTAATGGAGCATATATCAATAAACGGTCAGAATATTTGGACCAGGTGCGTTTTAGGTGCTTTAAAAAGTCTTAAGATATGATAACCTAAGACTTTTGTTATCAACGAAGGGTCTAGTTGCTATATAGTGCTGAAAGATACTTCTTACCTTCTGGTCTCATTTGGTGACCAGTAGTAAGACCAAATCTTTCTTCAATAACAATAAAACTTCACTACATTCTGAAGGCCCCCAAAAGACAAAGAAAACAGTTTGCTTCAGTACATAGTAAAGTTGCCCTACGTATTGGTCACTACCCGTCCACAAACTACGTTGGCTTCGATTCGCTGGTAACTGATCATTTATCTCCATTTGTCAAACTCATGTTTGGTACCAAAGTATGTGGGGCAACTGAAAACGGATATGTTGCTCAACATTGTGTTACGTTTTTCGGGACGGATGTCCGACAAAGTCGTTGAAACTAAGCATGAAAAACTCGTACTCGATCACAGTTGTATTTCATAGCATACGTTTGTGGGTAAACCAGTTAAGTCCTGTTGTGGTGTATGCTACTTATGTCGAAAAACATAGCACGTAACACCAATCAGAATTGGAATGCATGACAGAAGGCCAAGGAGATCGAGTTGAAGAAAAACGAAGAGAAGTATAAAGGAATTGCAAATTGGAAGAATCATACTGAACGGAAAGGACAATTGACGGAAGGTTTGCTAATGAAGTATTGAATGTACGGTTTCCATATTTTACAAGGATATTCTGTAATTTTGTATTAAACAATAAATTTTTCCCCAACTGAATGTTCGTTCGTCACACTGGTCTCATTTATAAGGTTCTAAACTTGATAAAACATGAGCCACTCATATTGACTCGCTGCGTACTTCTGTTTACAGTGGTGACAACAATATTGATACATGATATATCTACCTATCTACCAGCCCACTTTCTCTTGTGAAACAGGATATATAGGATATGGCTAGCGTCCGATTTCAACACAAATACCAGAATATATCCCAACATCTTACCACAAGGACGATAGAGATGCAGCTAAAATCTCCAAGTTAGTGCTGACTGTGACACGGTCCGATCATTCTGTGAATTGTGCCCTAACCACCACTCAGCGTCTCCTAATCTCTACAGGCAGATGATCTTCTCTCTACCACAGCCAGATATTGCTAATGGTGTCTGTCCACCTAATCTGGATACCCTTAACTTCCTGATGATGATCGTGGAAGTCCTTCAAGTTTTAACTCAGCACAACACTATTTTGACTTGGGTTTTTAAAATTCTGCCTTTGATGTTATGCGAGTGTTGTTTTTAGTCCCGGATATTCAATTGTAGGGACACTTTCCTTGCTTTGCCAATTCATGCCTTCACGTTTGCACCAGGTCTTCGTTGTTCATCAATGATGCTAGCTAAGCACTTGAATGCTCCCAAGTCTTCCAGAGCTTCGACATCATGTGTAATATGTTGCTGTTTGCTGTGTTGTACTTTAAAATCTTGTTTCTCCCTTGTGAATACTGAGGTGTGCTGCTACAGAATACGCTACTGGACTGGTGGACTTCTGTATTTGTTGTTATATTTAAATACCGCCAGAAAAAATATATTGAAGATCCCAGATTGATCAACGTCACAGGTCTTAGTTCTTTGGGGCGACTTCGAAAGGCCACTTATTCGGATTAGAGTGATGTTCATTTGCTAAGCTAGACGCCCCCAAATTCCCTGGTACGGCCGAGAGTAGGGAGACAAGTCAATAACTGACACATTAGGACTAAGTGACTGATGATCGCGTTTTAATAAAGTACATTATGCGACTATCAATATTTTGAATAATCCACTACTGCAACGTCCATTTGACTTCCAGTGCATTTCAGTTGCACCAGTTAATTCTCTCATTTGACTTTTGCTCAGCATTAATATTTAGTTTTATTGTGTGCGAATTTGACGATTCCGTTAGCCAACAGTTACTGAATGCAGTCTGTATATAATGGAATAAATCCAAATATGAACCAGTCTCCCTTTGTTTTTACCAAATAAATCTTTCTGATAGATTCCCCCTTTGGAGTAGCTGGGTTTAGAAGAGAACAGAGTCGTGGTATTCATGTACTAAAGTGCAGTGAAAAATTACCGTCGGTATCACATACATGTCACTTACGTGGTCAGTTTTTCAGTAGTTGATTATACACAGTAATAATAATTGGTCACAATTATCTAAGTGGTACTGATTTTTAATATTCAAATGGGAAAACTATCTATTGGCACACAACCGTGAAGTCTGTTCAAGGCTACTAGAAAGTCTCCGCGATCTAGAGGCTGAAGCGTTTGTCAGAATATTCTGTGGTACAGTTCAACTGACTTCCGTCTATTGAGTCGTCCTTGACTCGAGTACTGCTTAATTAGACCACTGATATCATATCCGTGATCCGCATTGAAGTTAAATTCACTGGGAATGCTGCAGCGGCGAATGAAGTAATTAATGACAATTT